TCATACATGAAAAAGTCGGCCAAGTCTGCATCTGGGCGGGACTGCAAAGAAAGGAAGAGCTGTGTCACCAATATCATGTTTTGTTTCTGAATACCAACATCCTTAGGTTCTTTTCTCCTTGGGTCAGGTCGATTTGCAAAGGTCAGCATGTTATTTCTTTTGATTGCATCTGTTACAGGCACAGATATCTGCACCAGTCTCTCTTGGACATAATCTACATGCAGGGCTTTGCCAGCTTCAGAGATTTGTAACAGACTGTTCACGACGGACGGCTCCATGACAGTTTGGGTATCCAGAGCAACAAGCGTCTTTTTAAAATTTGACTTGTAAATGATGTCCTTCCTCATGATGAGCTGTTGCCTGGGGTGAAAGGTCATGTGTTGATTCAAACTCCTTTACCATACAGTCTGATCCTGCAAGCATATAAAGGGTAAGTGCTTCAGGATTCTCATAAAGGGTTCCTGGAGGGATTTGTTGGACTGTTCATGGGCTTGGTCCTTGGCCGTAAGACTGAACTTCTTGGATGATTTCTGAACGACATTGCCCTTCATAAATTCATCATGTATCTCAGGGTGATTATTGCTAAGTTCAACCATGTCACGTACATGAATGTACTGGAAGCCAACGTGCATAGTTTGTGTGGTCCAATGCGTGAAACCAATCATAAAGTTCGTCACATGATTGTACATAAAGTTGGAAGTCTCCTTCCCTCAAGGACCTCACAAAACGAGCTATGAGCAGTTCTAGTTCAATGATAGTAGACCAGTATTTGAACTGTGGAAAACTTTGAGAACGTTGATCCCACATGTTGAAGGATTCCGGTGGACCCATGATACCCTTGCAATATTCAGAGTATGCATTCTGCTTGAGGATGTTCAGCGATATGAGGGAAACCTGGTGGGCATATCTTGTGCGCTTGATGTGATGCTCATGGAGGGTTGACTTAGCTCGACCAGATGTGAGGATCTCTGCTTGAGTTAGTACCGTTGCCCACCCTGAGTCACGAAGCAGCTTCCCTATCATTAGATGCATCTTGTCTTCGATGTGCAATGCACCCATCATAGCAAAAAGCTTGTCTTCCCCGTAAGCATCTGGGAACTGCCATTGGAGGAGTTTTATTATGGCATATAGTGGCTGATCTGCTCCAAGTACTGTGGTCTGGCCCGGGTTTAAGAACCCGCACAGACAAATCCATAGCATGTTTCATAGAAGATGCAGATGCTGCTTTATCCGTGAAGAAAGAATATATACCAATCTCTGCTGGAGGTTTCACAGATCTGTCACTTGCAAGAGACGAGTTGTACCCTGCCCAGGTGATGATGTCACCCTCTTCTACTGGACCCTTGTTCAATACCTCTGAGACGAGTGTAAGCCATGCCTGATCCTTATCCATTGAATCTTCTACAAGGAGACTTGGTCGGACTTGGTTTGTAGTAGATTTTGGAGCATAGACATCTGTCTCAGGGAGTTCTACTGGTTGTTGAATCGTATAAAAGTCCGGCAACTTTGGAGGGGTTGTGTCCATTGGATCCTGTTTTATCGGAGCATGCTTTACTCCCACATTCTCCTTTGATAGATGATTGGTCACACTGAATGCATAGCCATGAAATTCATCTTGTGAGAAATTTCCTTGTGCTTTGCTGTCAAGATTATCCACATCATGTGTAGTGAACCATATTATATGTTTTTTCTAAAATGGCATTTTCTACATCAATCGATAAGAAACTATAAAAAAACATGTTCTTAGAAAAAGAAAGAGGATATATTTTGTATTTCTTCGTTTGTTTATTGACATTTTGATGTTTTTGGTCCACCCTCTAGATCTTATTTTTCATCTAACTTCTTTAATATCATTCACACAAATTTTATTTATATATCACTGTAAAGCTCTTTTTATTGTCTTTCGTTTGATATACAACATGATTATGTACAATTTATGACAATTTATGACTAATTTTTTTCTTAAATCGGGGTGGCGGCCTTTTGGTTTTTTGTCCAATATGGCCGCCACAGAAATAAGCTTAGTATGTCTTAAGCTACCTCTGTGCCAAATTTGGTGCTTTTGGAAGAATCTGAACCAAAATATCCCTATGCCCCTTAATATGGGCCTGTGGGGATATAATTGGGATGAAAAGCGTTTATAATGGGTAGTGATCTAGTACCCCAATTGTCTATTTGCTACTGAAGTATGTAGTGAAGTCTATATAATCACCGGTATACATCCCCAATTCGTCAATTCTAATTCAACTTATTTTACGTTGTTTTTTCGTGAAAGAAATTCATTATTCAAACCACGTCAAAGTTCCTCTAGGTCACAGGTTAATCATATCACTCCTTGAACTTACACCACCGCCAGAAAAACTAGTTCCCTTTTCAAAATGATGAAAAAATTAAAGTGTTATAACTAAAATGGACGGAATTATCATGAAACCGTATACTAGTTATCATAAATGTGCGGGCCGCTGCAAAAGATAATGGCCTGTTGATTCCTCAACTACAGGCCACTATCTGTTCTGATATCAATTGACGTCACAGCAAGTGACGTCACGCTCCATAATGACGTCATAAATCGTGTTTCATGATCTATAATGGTGTTGGGTCAACAGCCCGTTGCGAATAAGTTGTTTGAACTTACAATTAAATTTATGATACTGTTTTGTCTTTTTAACACAAATTCCATCTATTTTAGCGGGATAGGTGAGTTAAACTGACCTAGGGCTTTTGCAAATGACAATGCCCTGAAAAAACAGCGTTACCCCAATAGTGTAGGATACTTTCAAAGGTTTTGGTGAATCGGTTTTCAAATTGCGACCGTAAATGCTGATTATACGGTCGGAAATTTATAGCACTGACCAATCAGAACTCGTGTTACATACTAAGTTGATTTAGAATATACTACTACTATTTGTAGAGAACACTATATGAGTCTCCATTCCACTGCGGTCAATCACCTCATGTATACAGCTCTCGATCTAGTCCACTGAAGCAGGGCACTACTGTGAACAACATTCCATTTAACTGAATGCAGACACAACTGTGCACACCGCTCTACTCCACTGGGGCCAGACCCCATCTGTACACAACGCTCTACCAAGCTGAAGTCAAACACCATATGTATATAGCGCTCTGCTCCACAGAAGTCACGTAAAGTTCTGTCAAACACCATCTCTACAATATACTGAATTTGAACACAATCTGTTTAGAAGAATCCACTCATTTGAAGTCAAACATCATTTGTATATGATCCTCTTTTCCACTGAAGTCGGACACCATCATTTCTGTTCAGAACACTTATCCACAATGAAGTAAATCCGTATTATTTAGGATAAATAATATCTCCTTTGAACTTAGTGCAACTATGTTGGTCGTTTTCTAGGCCCAAGGGCTGTTTTCACCATCTGTATATGGATATCTATTCCACTGCTGTCAATCAGCTCATGAAAAGGGGCTGTAGTGAACTGAAGCATAGCACTACGTGAAACACATGCCATTTAACTGAATTCAGACACAACTGTACGCAACACACCACTTCACTGGGGCTACACACTGCTGTACATAACACTCTTCTCAGCCGAAGTCAGGAAACATGGGTACACTCCGCTTGGCTACAGAAGTCAGACATCATCTGTGTACATCACTATATTCCACTGACGAAAGACACAACTGTGCACAGAGCTGTTTAGAAGTCTCCACTCCTCTGAAGTGAAACATATCTGTATATAATCCTCTTCTCCACTGAAGTCGAACACAATCTGCACACAACACCTAAGTCCAGTATATGGATATCTATTCCACTGCTGTCAATCAGCTCATGAAAACAGGGTTGTAGTGAACTAAAGCATGGCCATACTGTGAAAGACACTCCATTTAACTGGTCAGACATCACTGTACATAACACACCACTCAACTGCAGCCAAAACTGCCTGTATAGAATGCTCTGCTCCAATGAAGTTCTAAACCATCTGTACACAACACTCTACTCCAATGAAGTCGGAATCCACCTGTACACAGCACTCTAGGCAGCTAAAGTTAGAACTGATCTGTTAACAGCACACTAGTCAACTGATTTGTTTAAATATACTGAGTCGAAAAAGAACCTTCTCAAAAAGTAATTTGAAAAATAATGAATAATTTTTCTCTGATGATACATCTATGTATCCGAAATGGGATCCCTATCTTTCGACTCTAGAAAAAATCTGCCATTCTATATTCAAGTCTTGACAATGTATGTCTCTGCCAGCTGCCTTAGAGGCAGTCCAGATTGCCTTAGTCTTATGTATATTTATTCTTAACCCTGACTTATTGTAGAAAGTATTAATTGTATCGCAATCGCAGCATATGAACTATTCTCTGAGCCATTAAAAAAAAACAACTCCGTATCATCAGCATAATGACCTAACTTATATTCCTGCTCATCAAATTACAATATTCTATCTTTTATTTTTTTGTCTTATCCAAGGATTTCAGTTACAAAAAGAAACACATATGGTGATAGCGGATCACCTTGCCTGCAACCCTGCTCGTTAGGGAAGAAATCAGAGAGATGTCCATTCTGAATAACACATGAGGTTGTATCATAGGTTAAGCAATTAATCCAGCGTATACTCTCTTGACCGAAACCAAATTTCAATAAGAGAGAATTTATAAAATCTTTTACTGTTTTTAAAAATCAATTAAATGCTTAACTGACGTTAGAAACACGGTGTTGTGGTTCGAGGTATGTTGGCAGCAGATACTGAAATAGCTGTATTTCGTGGTTCAGAAATGGAATAGGATGCTACCGGTGTCTGACCATGTCAGAGACACAATGGCTGTTACATATGACAAATCGAAGCAGGATCTGTGACAGGAACATTTGCAAAGAAATTTGTTGTTGATAAAATGTCATGCTGAAGGAGGAGGGAGAACGCTCATCTACATAGTGACTGTCTATGACCAACTAACCAATGGACACACCCTCTTCCACAACTCTCCGACTGTTCATGTTTTCTCACACTTACCCTTTCTTACCCTCGTCTTCACCTCCCAGTACCGAGCACAGCCAGTCGAAAGGGGGCAGCAGTCATGTGCGTATTCAGTCTACGCCCTCCTGTGGGTATAGCGTACGTCTTCCCATTGGCTAACTGCCTCACGTGTTCATGTGGACCAAGTCGAGACTGACTCTATCGTTCTGATATTGCAGATACACACCAACAAACTGAACACGCTGTCTAGCGAGGTACACAGGCTGCAGTCAAAGGCTGATTAGATAACAATATCACGTGTAATTCAGGAGATGAGTGAAGTAGTTTTAAGCACATTGCACAACAGATATAACTCATATGGAATCGTAGATGGGACATTATCGCGTTGTCTAGCCTTCAAAAACAAAACAAGCATTAAGTGTCGTAATTAGCCGAAGATGTCTTGGCGATTTGTTCACATTGTCGGACGTTGAATCGTATTTTATATTCTACAAAAGGGAGACAATGCGACAAAGGTTTTCAAGGTCAAACTATATTGCGGTATAGCTTTGTAGGTCCAATGAATATGTGTCGAGAAATGCGCTACAACGTGAAAAGTCATCATATTGATTGCCACCCTTTTCAATTAATGGTGTTCATGTGTACAAAGTGAATGTAGGTATGAACGGAAATGGTAATTGTCTTTTTCAAAATCCGGTAATCCTTTTGTAGCTCCAATGGTTCTAAACCCAAAGTGGCAATGGCGAACGGGGCAGCTCTTGTTGGAATGTGTATAGTTTCTTCCATCGCTGTTTTGTGCAAATATCGTCAAAAATCCAAGCAAAGACACGTGAATGCTTCACCTGAAAAAATGGTACGATATCCCCACATACATTCGGACACCGTTCTGTCGACTTTGATGTGTAGAAGTTGAATTTGTGTCGAAGTAAACGATTGGTCCCTTCGTATTGTTAATTTAGGTGCGTCAAAGTGCGTTAACGTAATAATGATTCAGTGCAAAAGTTACTTTATTACAATATACATGGAAATAGAGGAAACTGTATTTCTTTTCTAAGATGCCAAATGTACTACTTACCGACGATTAACCTAAGGCAGAAAACAAACAGAAAAGCGACGCTCCCTAAAACAACTCTCCATCCCCTGTCGTCTAAGAGCAGACATTGTCGATGGAGTCTAATGCCATTGTAAATGTCCTCCAATCTACAGGTGTAGGTGGATGCGTCGAGAAAGTTAGTAGTGGAATTAACTCATTGAGTAATCAAGGTGCCACCTTTGCCACTCAAGTGCAACGAGCAGACTCTATACTGTAGTCTAAACATGAATTACTTGAGGCATAAAATATTTCCTAACTGTATATGTGTTTATGCTCTCCTATCTTCAACCGTTTCCAGCCTTCGTCTTGGTTTGTGCTCCTGCAATTTTCACACTCACGGATGAAACAAATATAATATAATATACATGTACCTCCCATATGCAAATGGGGAATTCTAATTCTGACATATATGTGGGCGACTTTGAAAAAGTCTTTGTTCATATTTGTTCAACTTCAGTATTTATGATCAACACTTGAGGGTTGATCGCATTGTGAAATCCGCAAGAGGCATTTATGATAAAACAAATCGTTTAAGTCTGTCAAAACGAAAATCACTTAATGACATATAACATGCTATGAACGACATCAATACCAAGGTCACATGTAAGGTGATTTGAAGTGGCACGTCCAGATCATCGCTTTACAGCTTTCTCAGGTCACAGACATATACAACTCACCATGACATCAGAACACGTGAACCATGAAATCAGGGGTGGTGGTGTACATGGGTACAATGTGTGAAGCCCATTTCTGATGTCCCCCGTCGTAATATTGCTGGGATATTGCTTACAGCGACATAAAGCTAAACTCACTCACTCACTCCACTAAATCAGCTGCGTCCAAGAGCCAATGTTGTTGACATTATTGACATATGTTGTTTCCTATCTAATATGTTGTTTCCTATGTAATATGTTGTTTCCTGTTTAAGATGTTGTTTCCTGTTTAATATGTTGTTTCCTGTTTAATATGGGTTTTTTCCTATTTAATATGCTGCTTCCAGTATGCGTGACTATGTTTTAACCCACTTTTTTGTTTTATAGGACTGCCATATACATGTATTGGGAACATTGCTTAGTGCGGCGTTAAACAACAACACAGTTCTATAGGACTCTCTCCTATTATGACGTGCATGTGTATAAGTGAAGCAAAATACCAAACTTGTGATAAGGCCATTAATAAATGAATGAGTTGGGATATTTATAAAACTTCAGTATTCAAGTGATATCGGTAACGGTTCAGCTTTATTACAAGCATCTGTCCTCACAAAACTCTCAAAGTAAATTTCAAACTCACCAGGTTTTTAAGAGTAGATTTTTTGTGCTTTAATTATGGCTAAATTTGACTACAATCACCGACAGCTGAAGGGATGGTGTAACTCCAGCTAGGGTCCATGCAGCTAGCCAAAGTATTGTAAGTCCCCATGGTCCCTAGTATGGTGATCAGACTTCAGATGTTGGTGATCTATAGCCCGGCTCGATATTGTATTGTTGTCTATAGTGATACATATTTTTATGATAGCGTACCAGTTTTAAATTGTATAGGTGGTATTCTAGTACTTTTACTGTCCTTCGATGACAGGTTTTTGTGTAGTGTTTTTTTTTATTGATATAAATTAAATTGTTCTCGTCACGATATAGCTGAGATATTGCCGATGTGACGTTAAATATTAACTCAATAACTCACTGTTGGTGTCGTAGCAAGAAGCATGCATAAATGTCCACATGAATGAGGTATCCATGAAACTGTCTACTTATCTCTCCGATCACATGAATATTAATTTAGACTGATTCATTTTATTGTCAATGTATTCCACTAGCATGATTTACCGTCCTATTTTACACACGGTGACACAGGCAGACCGGGAGGTGCCCATTGAAACATTGCGATGTTGAAATGAAAACACTATTCTGCATATGCGTTGCGTCTTGTTTTTAATTTGTGTGGCTATTCCTATTTCAAGTGTGTACATGTTGTACTAGGTTGAGACCCGTGAAGATTCGGGTTAGAATAATTGATCTTGAGTAACCCGTGCTTTTCGTAGGAGGCGACTAACGGGATCAGTTGGTCAGGCTTGCTGACTTGGTTGACACATGTCATCGTATCCGTAGATTGCTCATGCTGTTGATCACTGGATTGTCTAGTCCAGACTCGATTATTTACAGACTACCAACTTGCTGTAAACGTTGGGGTTTTCTTTCTGTGGGTCATGTGTTAGAAACCCGTGAAGGTCCGGGTTGGAATGAACTAACGGGATCGGGTGGTCAGGCTTGCTGGCTTGGTTGACACATGTCATCGGTTCCCAATTGCGCAGATTGATGCTCATGCTGTTGATCACTGGATTGTCTAGTCCAGACTCGATTTTTTACAGACTGCCGACATATAGCTGGAATATTGCTGAGTGCGGCGTTAAACAACAACTTAACTCAAACCAACCAACTGGGTTGTATAAAGTCAGCAGCAGGGGATCCGCGGCTGATACTTGTATACACGACCCATAGCCTCGATGCATTCCAAAGGGGCCTGTCGTTATCTTATCACACCATATCAGCAATAAAGTGTGTCGCAGATTGCCATTGTTTACATGTCCCTGACGAAGGGTGGACTATCATGGCGAATATCAAACCGGTGAACTCAAACTGTGATACGATTCACGAATCCCGTAGGGAAAAGGTTAAAATTTTGACATAGGGGAAAAAGAACTAGGATAGGTGCAAGAAATGTCTCCGTCTCCATGGTCAACTTGAGCGTTGAGGTAGTAGAGTCGGCCGGGATGGGTTCAGCCTCTACAGGAAACGGGTTGTATTGGGAGTGTAGAAAGGGTTTCTTCTTTAAGATGTGTCATTCAGAGTTCTGTAAGGATGGGGGAAAGAGGGAATTCCATGGGGACGCCATGGATCTGTTGGAACGTGTCGTTATTTCATCAACCTACGAAGTGGTAATTAAGAAAGAAGACTGTATCAATCATCCATTCAACAAGGAATCAAGTTTTTTTTCTTCCTGTATATTGGCTTCGTGACTTCTACTTTTGCTTTTTCTTACTAACTACCTGGCCTCATTGAGTCCTGTCCTACATGTTGTCAGTCACCCGCTGTTGTTAATGTTAGTCTGCTGCTTATCAGAACATCCGTATCGTTGATCACCTGGCTGTCGTCACTGTTATCACAATAGCGGTGATAGAATCCACACAGGCACGTCGCTTTAAACAATAAAAAATATAAGGGTAATGCTATTTTTGAGGGCATTATCATTTGCAGAAGCCTGCGGTATTCCATTAACTGCTCGACGAAGGAGGGCAGTTGAAAAAGACCGAGGGCTTCTGCAAATGATAATGCCCTCAAAATTAGCATTACCGTTATTATTGCTAAAGTACATGGAATTTGTGTTGAAACGAAAATGGAAACAATGAAGGAATTTGACTGTTAGTTTACTCAAAACCAACCCTGACGGGGCTGAATGACCGAATGCAATTACGTCATCGAACAATTCAAGTGACGTCACAACAGAAAGTGACGATATTCGACCTTGGCCTTTGCCAAGACCATAGCCTGCAACATGTCAAACTATGTCAGTGTTCGGTTTTGGTCCAACAACAACGTTAATAGTGCAATTGTTAAGGTTAGCACCAGCAAGAGAGTCCATATTATCGCTATTTAATGCGGGAATTCGGGTTGCTTTGACTTGTTTGACCCAGAATATCTGCCAGTCCAAAGCCAAGGTCGAATGAACCGTAAGCCCACGCACCCACTATGACGTCACTTGGCAGCAGAACTGATGGTGGCCCGTCGTTAAGGTTGAGCGGTCCAATATCATTTGCAGCGGCCCGCAAATTTCTGATAATGGGAGAGCCGTTTCATGATAATTCCATGTATTATAGCGATAAGACGTTGTTATTCATAAAGTCGTATGCTTGGTTATTTAAATATCAACTTCCAGTAAGCATAACTTCTTTGAGAGACATTTAGAGGTTGGGGCAGTAAGGAAAGATAGGAATATATGGATGAACAACTTCACATAAATCAAAACATATTTAAAATTGTTCAAACACATATTTGTCATTC